CGAGTCATCTCGCGCCCTGACGGCCGCGGCTAATTTTGGCAGCGTGCGAATCGCTGAATCGCTGTGTGCACGGAGTCTTACCCCTTCTCTCCTCTTCCCACCCCTCCTCCAATTCCCCGCCGGGGAGCAGGTGGAGTATGTGTCGGTGCCCGTGTTTTTTTCGCGTTTGCTTGAGGCCTGACGAGGACACTGCCTATCTGTCGTCATTTAGTGAATGTGCGGAGGGTTAGGGGGATCGCGCAAACCTGGACTAAACCGAGGTATGAGCTCCTCCGATGTGCACCGCACACGAGAGATCATCTGTCGCTGTCGTTGTGGTGCCGTTTTTGTGCACGCAGTCTCTTGCTTGCTTGCTCTGCCGATCGGCGCGGGCCCTCGCGCCCCGCCCCCCCATGGAGTCCTCATGGAGTAGATTCACTGAGTGGATCTTGGCTGGCCGTTTTTGGGCGCCTGTTGCGACAGGGTCGGGCCTCCCCCCTGGGACTCACTGCCCTCCTTCCGCCCAATGTTGAAACGCCGAATAAGAAAACGCTCACCAGCCGAGGTCTGGAGCCAGACCCCTCCCGACCCTCCCCCCCCCGTTCTGCCCAATGTCGAAACGCCGATATCCGTGCACATGCACATTGTGCGAGATCTCCTGGTTTTCAACGATGGGTTCAGCCCAGGGATTGTGGTCTTTGTGTGCTGTTGTTCGCATTTTGGCTCAAGCGGAAAATATCTCCTGTCCTTCTGCTGCTACAGTCGCAATGGCCCAAGAGCGCTCCACGAGGGGCGACGATGGCACAAAGACGGCCTCAGAGGCCCCCAAGATGCTGCCAAGATGCCCCAAGAGGCCCCCAGGAAGCCCCCAGGAAGCCCCAAGAGGCCCCCAAGAGGCCGCAAGAGGCCCCCAAGAAGCCCAAAAGAGGCTCCAAGAGGCCCCAAGACGGCCTCCAGACGGCCCAAGAGGCCCCCAAGATACCCAAGAGGCTTCCAAGAGGTCTCCCAATAGAGCTCGAAGACGCCAACACACACACACACATGTATGTTCCATAGGTTCTTGAACAATTTTGGCGTTTCCGCATGTTCCGCCTCCCGACGCTGGAAAACGCTCCGTGAGGCTCCGAGGATCGCCACAAGACGGAAACTACAGGAAACCCATGAACTCCAGAACGAACTTCAGATCTTCTACCGGACGAACCCCCGAAACGGGAACCGAACAAAAGGCTTCAAAGCACCCCAAGACGGCCCAATGCGCCGAGGAGACGTCCAAGACGGCCCGGGGGGGCCCCGACCGCGGCCCAGGATCGGGGACGTGAACCGAGAACCCGAGATCTTCGCCGCAGGAGACCCCCAGGAGGCTTTACGAGTTCCCCAAGAAGTCCCAAAGAGTTCCAAAAGAGCCCCGACCAGCTCGGCATCGCATGCGCCGTCGGATCTGACGAGCTTGCGTCGCAACTCGCTGACGTCTGGAACGCAGCTGCAAGGCTTCACGCAGCTGCCTGGCTTCACGCAGAGCCAGGTGACGGGGGAGGGGGCAAGACCGAAGAGAAAGGTCAACTGGCCCGTTCTCCTTTCTGTATTTCCCAACCCTCCTGCGTTGGGTACTCGTTTTGAATAGAGCACTGCAGTCTCCACCTTCCTTCCTTCCTTCCTTCCTTCCTTCCTTCCTTCCTTCCTTCCTTCCCGCCTCCTCCCGCCTCCTCCTCTCTCCTCTGGGGGGCTGCGATCTGCGAGACTGTCGTCACTTTCGAGGGCTGCTGGGGGGCCCAGCGGAGTGACGCCCTACGGGGATTCAGATTAGACCTCGCCATCCCTGGGGGGCTGCGATCTGTGAAACTGTCGCCACTTTCGAGGCTGCTGGGGGGCCCAGCGGAGTGACGCCCTACGGGGATTCAGATTAGACCTCGCCATCCCTGGGGGGCTGCGATCTGTGAAACTGTCGCCACTTTCGAGGCCTGCTGGGGGGCCCAGCGGAGTGACGCCCTACGGGGATTCAGATTAGACCTCGCCATCCCTGGGGGGCTGCGATCTGTGAAACTGTCGCCACTTTCGAGGCTGCTGGGGGGCCCAGCGGAGTGACGCCCTACGGGGATTCAGATTAGACCTCGCCATCCCTGGGGGGCTGCGATCTGTGAAACTGTCGCCACTTTCGAGGGCTGCTGGGGGGCCCAGCGGAGTGACGCCCTACGGGGATTCAGATTAGACCTCGCCATCCCTGGGGGGCTGCGATCTGTGAAACTGTCGCCACTTTCGAGGGCTGCTGGGGGGCCCAGCGGAGTGACGCCCTACGGGGATTCAGATTAGACCTCGCCATCCCTGGGGGGCTGCGATCTGTGAAACTGTCGCCACTTTCGAAGGCTGCGTGGGGGGCCCAGCGGAGTGACGCCCTACGGGGATACAGATTAGACCTCGCCATCCCTGGGGGGCTGCGATCTGTGAAACTGTCGCCACTTTCGAAGGCTGCTGGGGGGCCAGCGGAGTGACGTCCTACGGGGACTCAGATTAGACCTCGCCAGCGCTGGGGGGCTACGATCTGTGAAACTGTCGCCACTTTCGAGGGCTGCTGTGGGGCCCATGAAACTGTCGCCACTTTCGAGACCTGCTGCGGGGTCCAGCATAGTGACGTCCTACGCGGACGCAGATTGGACCCGTCATTCTACTTCGATTATCCCGCATCTGCGATCGACTGTATGTGTGCGAGGAACTAGACATGGAGTGGTCTGGCACTGACTGACGTCAAATCGTTGTGTGCCAGTGTCTCCTGGGGTGTTGCCTGATGTGGATGCAGCTCGTCGGCGCTGCGACTCGAGCTGGCGGTCGTCCTTCGGACCCGCAGAAACATCTGCTGAGCTCGATGAGCTAGGGGAACTACAGGAAAGAAGTGCAGGAAACGGAGGCCGGTCATGCACTCGCCGATACCTCGTTGCTCTGTCATCGTCTTTGCTGTTGCATGATCCTTATCTGGCCTGCCGGCGCCGCGGCTCGAGCTGGCGGTCGCCCTTCGGGCCCGCGGGAACATCTTCTGAGACAAGTGGACGCCGCCGCCTTACTTGCAGGCAGCGCATTGCATTCGCGGACAGCAGCATGGCAGACCGCAGTGAGATCCTCAGTCGCGTGGTGTTGCCAAGCCTGGTGGAGACGCGCGTGATCGACCTGAAGTCCCAATCGCGCGTGCACTGTACCTGCGTGGCGTTCAGGCACGCGCGTGATGCTGCTCGCTCCGCGTTCAACCAGTACGTCGCCAGTGCAACTTTGGACGATGGACAACCGATTGATGATACGCGACCCCGGCCTTGAGTTTCTTTCCCGCGGGCCGCCCGCAGACCTGGCGGCGCGCCTGCGAGCGTTCAGCTCCCGCGCTGAAATGTGCGGGAAGGAGGCGGAGAAGCTAGCGGGCGAGCTACGCCTCGCTCGTTCCTTGCACTCTAAACAAGTTTTATCATGTGGAACTCTGCGACGACATGGCGCAGGCAGCGCTGCGGGTTTAGCTCGCACTTGAAAAACGCGGCAGTCTTCTGTCTCCTCCCGCCACTTTCATCGTCGCCCTATTCCCCGCCTCACCTTCTCCATGCATGCTGCTGCTTCCGCGATGGCCTTTCGCCCCCCCCGCCCTCCATTCCATCCCTCTCCTACCCCTCGTTCCCGTGCCCGTTCTTCTTCGATCCTGGGGCCTCAGGCCTCGTTCTTCGATCGTCGTCCTGTGAATCGCGCAGCGCATGCGCATCCCATGTAGCTTGCACAGCAAATCGCCGCGTCTACACTGTCGTTGTTCCTGCTAATGTTGGCACATTGCCATTTGATGCACGCGGGTTGGGTACGTCGCAGGGTAATTTCCTTCCTCCAAAATGTAACGGTTCCGCTGGGAGCGGTGTCACAGAGAGCGGGCCATGCACTGTTTGACTGTGCAGTACCCTGGCCGCCGCTCTGCTTCTTTCTGCGCCTGCCTCCGTATCGAGATTGGCGTGGCCCTAGCGCCTGCGCAGCTGACAGCACCGAACGCGCCGCCTCCCCCCTCTGCCGGGGTCTCGGCCCCTCCTCCGCCTCGCTGGGCCTTCCCCCCCCCCCCCCCCTTGGGTGCTCGATTTACACCTGGTTGCCTATCCCCTCGCCTCGCTTCTCCCAGGCGCCACCGTCGCGTGCCCGCTCAGCTGCGCCGCCCACCAGGCAAACCTTGCGCGCACTCCTGATTTTCTCCTCCAGGCCCCACAGTGCTGCGTGCTGACGCGCGCCCGGGGGGCCACAGACGATGGCGGCCAGAAAGTTCGCTCTGCCTGACGTGCTGCCCCAAAGCTGGAGGCGGCGGGGCTTACGTAACTAAGCATGTCTGTCTGTCCCTCGCCCATGGAGAGTCGTACCAGAACAGCTCGCTCGTGAGGAAAAAGGGCCTTGCACGATCTGACTCCTCAGCTGGAGGTCGGGGGGCTGGCAACAGCGCACACAGGAGGCGGAGGAGGGTGGAGGAGGAGGAGGAGGAGGGTTGCCTGCACGCCTGCACTGTTTGCCCAGGCCTTCCGGATCACTAAAATTTCGTGGTCGTGCCCTGAACTACTAAATTGTTGTGTCTCGGCTCCTAAAGTTTTGTGTGTATTACTATTTTTTTGTGGTTAGCGTTCGTGTAAAGATACTCATGTATGTATGTATATATATGTATATATATAGACATTCAGATGTAGATGTATATATATATATATATACACGTATATATACATACATATACATATATGTATATATATATATATATATATCAATACATACGCATAAAGCATACAAACATACATGCGTACATACACACATACGTTACAGATGCACTTACTATTCGTACATGTTGTTGGTTGTGGCACGCGGCTCGTGGCAAATGGCAAGTGGCAGTTCTGGTCGCGCGTCTCCCTGGATCGCTCACGAGGGGCCGAGCACGCTCCGCAGTCGCCGTCGAAAGTTGACAGATTGCCACCGATGTTCAACGACAATTGCCCTAGTGATGCTCCAACCTTATTGTTTGTTGTCAGTTTCCTCCGTCCCATGGCCATTCTGGCTCAAACCAGTTGGCTGAAAGCCTGCGCCTCAGCCCGTTCCTATGTTGAAGTGTCCCAAGCGTGCGCACCCGAAGTCCTGGCGACATCCATCGGGTGATGCGGCTCAGACAGTGGAGGCCTTGGCTCTAGTGATCGGCACAGCGATCGCGACGATCATCAGCCAGGGCGAGAACTTCTACGAATCAGTCGACATGAAGGTCGGCAGGAACCCAGAGAAGATCTTGATGTACAAGGAGCTTCTGATGGGATTGTTCACCCTTGACCCGAGGGGCGGGCACTTTTTGCAGGGCGACGTCGAGCAGAGCGTCGAGAAGGCAGTGACCGACGCGTCCCTGATGGATGGCTTCGGGCGACTGGCTGCTGCAGCTGGCAGATCGATCGACGAGATGCGCAATATGATCGCCTACAAGATCAGGGTCATGTGCTCCCATGCGCGGGAGATGGCGTCCAACTGCGACGATGCGTCGCCTTTGAAGGACTTGTACGACATGGTGTGCTCTCCTGGCCTTGGTGGCCAATGGCCTATTCAGCGTGCCTCCGCCAGCACTTCCATCTTCCCGAACCTCCAGAAGACCGCCGACCGCGATGACGGGATCGGGGGCGAGGAGGCATCTGATGGCGAATATTCGGGTGAGAAGACGATGGTTTCGGCGTACTTCGACGGCTACCAGTGGGCTGGGCTGAAGTTGTTCAGCGATGGGAGCGTCGAGAAAGCTTCGTACTACAGGAAGGGCGACAACGGCATGGCGATCGCAGTTTGGGCCGACGAGTTCAAGCTGGAGCTGGAGGTGCCGAATGTGTGCGTGAGCGAGCTCGGCGAGCTTGAGAAGTACATTCCTCCTGGCGGCGCAGCTGGGCGTGGACGAGGGCGTGGGCTGCTGAAGCGCCCAGCCGCAGCAATGAGGAGACCAGCGAGTGCGAAGAGGAAGCCCGCTGCAGCCCCTCATCGCCCCGGTGAGGGCGGCGGCGCTGCAGCCGAGGGTCCTCCCGAAGGCGGCGTTGCTGGCGCCGTCGATCTCCCTGGCGATGACGACGAGATCGAGGATGCAGAGGATGACCAGGGCGACAAGGAGCCATGCGACGAGGACGAGGTCGAGTCCGACGTGAAGCTCCAGGTCTGCAGCGGCCACAATACTACAATGGTCGTATTCTTAATCGATTTGGTCAAGAAGGGCAAGAAGATGCAGGTCCTCTCGGTAACCACGAGCAAGTGCGCTGGTTCGACGCTCTCTCCTCGCGAGGTGTGTGAGCGCGTCGTCGGGGAGCAGGCGTGGCTCTTGAACGATATCGCCTCCCCGATTTGCGAGATGGGCAAGGATAAGATCAACGGCCTTCGCGAGAAGTTGAGGGTCTTAGCCTCAGATGTCATCGAGGCGCATCCTGAGGTGGCCGACTAGGCAAGCAATCAATTAAATAAAGCAGCAGTGCCCTCCTCATCCACATCTCCCTCCTCCTCCTCCTCAGCAGTGCTTGCGAGTTTCGCGATCCGTGGCAGTGGGCAGGCAGGCGCCCGAAAAGGGAACAATCATCGTCGGTCCTCCAATCACCATCGCAATCGCCACCTCCGCCATCCCAAGTAGCATCCCCGTCATCGCCCCTGGCGCCCTCGCCATCAACAACTCATGGCGCAAACAAATCGCAACAACAAACATCTAACGAGCCATGGCAACATAATAGACCAAATGCTTCAACGTAAGATAGCCGTCTCATGCACCATCACCTCCCGCTCGCCTCCCCTGCCCTCCCCCCCGACGCCCTCTCCCTGTCCACCCCGCCACCCTCCCTCTCCCCTCGCACCCACCTCGCCCCTTCAACCCTCCCACCATTCATCGCCACCGCCATCACCACCACCACTACCACCATCGCCAACGCCATCATCACCACTACCACCATCACTACTACCATCACCACCACCACTACCACTACCACACTACCATCGCCATCATCACCACCACCATTACCACCACCACTACCACCATCACCACTACCACCACCCCACCACCGCACATACCCCACCACCACCACCGCCACTACAACCACCGCCACAACCACCACCACCACCACAACCACCAGCACCACCACCACTACCACCACCACCATCGCCATCACACCCATACCCCGTAGCAGTTTCGGCTCAGCCCAGCTTCTGTACTGCGTGGTAGTTCACAGCCTACAGCGACTGCAATGGCCGCACCAGCTGAGCACGGCTCAGTGCTCAAGCTTGAGCCGAAAGCCGAGGGGATAGAGACCGCTGGTGCGGCCGCGGCCAAAGTTCCAAAGTCGGTTCAGATCGCACGTGACGCTTTGGGCAAGTTGACGCGCAGCGCCGATGACCTCAAGAAGGTGCCCCCTGGAACGTTAAACACCCTCCAGACTACGTTGCGGAAAAGCATGTCCACGCAAGACAAGGACAAGTGGAGCACTCTCGCACCCGATGAACGCAGGGAGTGGATCGCGCAGTTCATCACTGACCCGTCAGCATGTCGCAGGTCGGGCTACACCACTACGAAGGCGGTCGACTCGCGCATGTCCGAGGACGGCGAGGAGTGGGTACTGCAGTCTACGCTGGCTGGGCCTCTTTGGCTGAATGACAAGGAAACGGCCCATATACTTTGCGACAGCGGCGACTTGGAGAGTCGCCCTTCGACGTACCCCTCCTTGGCGCAGAAGGGCATGAAGGAGTTCAAGGTATCGAAGAAGATATTGAGGTCGATGACTGGCTGGTCCCAAGAGGCGGGCGTGTCGTCGGAGGCCGCGGTCGGGGTCGCAGAGTACACCGCTGCGCAGGATGCCATCATCGGCAGCTTCGGCAGCGGCAAGCAGAAGAGGCAGAAAACTACCCCAAAGCCGAAGGAGCCCGAGAGTGAGGAGAGCAAGAAGTTACGCGAGGCTGTGGCGGCTCGCGCTCTGCAGCTTCGGAAGTTCAAGGCCCAGTGCGACAAGGTGAACAAGGAGCTCACTGAGTACGAGGAGTGCATCGCCAAGGTAGTCTCGAAGGGATACCCCGCCGAGATGGGCTCCTCCATGAGGGCGGCAGCCGACCCAACCCAGACGGCGTTGAAGGACTCCCTCGGTTTGTATGGTCAGGAGATTACGAAGCCGAGCGGCGCCCAGAAGACGATCGAGGAGGTATCGAAGAGCACCAGCGAGATCGAGTCGTGCTCTGCGAATCTCGAGAATCATTTCGCCACCCTGAAGAAGGCCCACATCGCCGATATAAAAAAGCTCGCGTCGTGAGGCTAGGGGTGCTTTTTGCTTTGGGGCTGAGTGGCTTCAAGCCTACTCTTCTTTAGGGCTAATGCCGTGGTGTCATTTGGGGATCAGGTGCTCGTGACCCAGGGGGTTCTCAGCTTAGCCACCTCCCGAGGGGGTCTTTTGAAGCTCCTGAGGGGGCGCCTCCGCCACCCCCCCTCCCCTCCGGTACCCGGCAAGGCGGGTAGAGGTTTGAAAAAAGTTTGATTTCAAACTCCAGGAGGTTTGTCAAACTTCGGTCTGTGCGAATGTTACAAGCAAAAGGAGGTTTGATTTCAAACTTCCACGGGGGAAAGTTTGAAATCAAACTTTTTTCAAACTTTTCAAAACCTCGCTGGGTCCTTCTCTCCCTTCCCCTCCCCCACTCCTCCCTTGCTGCCCTACACTCCCCCTCCCCTGGGCACTCCCTTGCCTTTCCTGTCCACCTCTGCCTCCTGAGCTCCCTCGGCCGCTCCTCCACCTCGCGCCCGCCCCCCCTCCCTCTCCTCCCCCCCCCATCCGCCACTTCTTCCTCCCTCCCCCTCCGCCCCTCTCTCCCTCCCTCTCCGCCCCCCCCTCCCTTCCCTTCCAATGCACAGGTTCCCGCACCCCCCCCCCCTTAGAGCACCTGTGGCATCAGTAGGTTACAGGAGGCACCGAGGCCCGATAGGCAACGGTAGCTCAAGACGAGGAGTTGACTCACCAAACATACAGTCGCCGTCTCAAACGTCGCCGTCACCAGAGCCATCAACGTCGCCGTCTGAAACGCAGTTGTCATCATCACCACCACTTTCCAAAACCCATTACCACCAATACAACATGCTGCAGCACTCGCTTGATACAATGCCTGTGACTCGTCGTATGCATACAAACTGTAAGGTCATGGCCGACGTCGCCGTTGCCGTCGCCGCAAATGGCAATCGTCATGTTCGTCGTCGCGGTCGCTGGCAGATCACCACCATCATCATCACCATCATCAGCACACCATCATCACAAACATCGTCATCACCATCATCACCATCATCATCACCATCATCATCATCATCATCATCGTCATCGTCATCGTCATCGTCATCGCCATCGCCATCATCATCATCATCATCATCATCCTCATCATCAGCATCATCGTCACTATCATCACCATCATCATCGCGTGCATCAAGACCATAGCCATTTTGGCTCGAAGCTCATGCCTAGTTTCCTTCGCAGGACGATCACCAAACGCACAGCGAGAGATGCTGGCAATCCAATGCTGCGAGAGCTTGGCAAGCTCTACAAACGGTCTCGATTGACCCCTGCAGAGGTGGCTGGCCTTGCGAATGCACACTCGGCGAATGACATCTTGGCAGAGCCACCGCTGCGTCGCCTTGGGCATGCGAAGCCGACCAGCCACCGCTTGCGCAAGGGCAAGAAAATCGCCGACACACGGAACGTTTCCAGAGACGTCCGAAGAGCATTTCGTAATTCGGGTTTGAGTTCAGTCACATTGCCTGACCCCTACATGGCCGAAGTCCCTATGTGGGACCTTGTGGCAGACAGGGCTTGCAAATGCATGGTGTCCTCCCTCCTCATCCACGAGGTGCTCGAGGCTGTCATCCGAGAGGGGGAGGAGATGAAGTGGGCGAGCTTCAACGGCAACCAGGGGGAGTTCAAGGCCGACCTGGACGAGTGGGCCGCCAGAATGGGTGTCGACATCACTGCCTCGACAGGTCGCTGGCTCGGGATCGGCTTGTGGGGCGATTCTGCGCCCTACAGCCACAAGGACTCAGTCTACCTGGTGCTGTGGCGAGTTTTGCAAGGTGAATTTGCTCAACGCTTTTGGTTTGTAACGTTCAGTAAACGCTTCGTTTGTCGTTGCGGGTGCCTGGGCCGCTGCACATTCAACAGCATATTTGCGATATTGGCGTGGTGCTTTCGCGTGATGCTCTGTGGCGTGCACCCCCACGTGGACCATGCTGAAAACCCTTTCGCCACTGGCTCGAAGAGGTGGCGCATGCGTGGCCAGCCTCTGCGCTTCCGAGGCGCGTGTCTTCGGAAGTACGGCGATTGGCAGTGGTACAAGCAAGTGCTGGGCCTTCAGGGTTGGCGCGGCGATGGTCCCCAACGGCACATATGCTGGATGTGCACGGCCACACTTTGCCCCGACCACCACTACTGCTACGACTTCGGACCTCAGGCAGCCTGGCGGCAAGGTCGCCGAACCATGGATTCGTTTTGGGCTGCTGCGTGCTTTTCGAGATCGACCTTCGTGAGTGTGATCTACAGCATACCAGGTTCACGCATGCAATAGGGTCAATAGGGAGGGTAAGGGAGTGGAAGGGGCAGGAGGAGGTGGGAAGATAGGGGAGTGGAGGGGGTGGGAGAGGAAGGGAAGGGACGGAACGGGGGGGGGAGGGGGGAAACGAGGCGACGGGAGGGAAGGAGCGAGGAAGGGAGGCGACTGAGGACGGCACATGTGTGAGGAGAGGGGGATGGCGGGGAGGGGAACGAACGGTGAGGGGAGGGGAGGGGAAGGGAAAGCATGGGGAATGATGAGTGGGGGGGGGGAGGCGGCTAGGCAAGGGAGGGGAGCCCAGGCTTCAAGACGAGCTACGTGAAACCCGACTGGATGCACGCGTGCTGCCTCGGCATCCTGCAATATGCGCTGGGGGCGGTGCTGCTGGAAGTGTTTCTCTCGGTCGGTGGTGTGATTTCGAATGCGAGTAAGGCTCGGGCTGCCCTGTGCACAATCATGAACATGATGCGGTGCGTAGCAGCCGACAAGGAGATGCCTTTTAACGACCTCACGGTCGGCATGCTATGTACATCCAAGAATGGTATAGTGAAAGCTCGGCTGAAGCTCAAAGCTGCAGAGGGGCGCCACGCTTTGCCTATAGTGTGTGATATGCTTCAACATTGCGTTGAGGCTCAGAGCGATCATGCTAGACTTCGGCTGCAGTGCTTGCTAGCTTTGAGGTCCGCCTACGACGAGATGGAGGGATGGACTGAGGGCGGGGTGTCAACTAGGAATATCGCGGCATATTCTCGACGCCATCTGCTTCTGTATGGCGAGCTTGTTAGGCAAGGGAATGTGGCAGGCGTTGTATGGTCGTTTTACCCAAAGCATCATATTTTTGCAGAAGTGTGCGATGGGGCGCGCACTAATCCCAGGGATGAGTGGAATTACCACGACGAGTCCGAGATAGGACTCTGTGCCGAGATGGCGGGCTCTTGCAACCCGAGGTTCTTGCACCGCACTCTGCTGCAGCGTTACGCTGAGACGTACGGCTTCTGAACAAAAAACATCG